AAAATAAAATCTAAATTCCTCTGAGATGTTAGGATGTATTACTTTTACTAATTTCTCAGCCTGTTTAGCCAAACAAGACCAAATAGTGATAATAGTGCCATCTGCTGGCAGGTGGCGACCGATGGGGAGCACTTCCTCAGAGACCTGAGGAAGGATTTGCAGAAGAACCTGGGATTCGATGCCGTAATGAGAGTCCGCACCAGTACAGGTAAAGAAAAGCAGAGCTTTACCTCCTATTGTTAAAGTTGGCCACCAGATTTTTTGCACAGTGCCATGTGTGTGATCCTCCAGGCTTCAGGGCCACAGACTTCTTCGGGGCCATTTACATGAACAACACCACAGATGTGGAGATGGCAGCTGTGGACTGCGACAAGGCTGTGACCGTGGAGTTCAAGCATGATGACACTCTCAGCGAGGAGTCGGGGGCTTTTATGCAGGTTCGCCTCTCAGAATCTGCTTAATATATGGCGACTGATCCTGTTGAAAACATTTCATTGTTCTTTAATTTCCAGTGTGCTTTGCTGTACACCACCATCAGCGGTCAGCGACGCCTCCGCATCCACAACCTGAGCCTGAACTGCTCCTCACAGCTGTCTGAGCTGTACAAGAGCTGCGAGACGGACTCACTCATCAACTTTTTTGCCAAATCAGGTCCGCTCCTGTTTTAATGCTTAAAGTAGAAAAAAGTGTCTTCTGGTTGAGAGGATTAAATATCCTAGTTGAACCCACAAAGGAGAAGCTGACTGGTGAGCCAGGCACACGCTGGCTCACCAGTCAGAAATGTGAAAACGGCTATTTGTGTCTGAATCACAATAACGAGGACAAGGCATCAGATGTCGCATGTGACACACAGGTTTCCAAAACAGTTCCTAATACTTTATCAGCTTTATTTCTTATTGTTTGCTATGTCAGCCTTTTTTTGAAAAGTGATTGGAGCAAATTTACTGCAAATATTTCTACCTAGATGGCAAAAAGGTTCTTCTTTTCATTGAAATTGGAGTAAATGTGAAGGAAAACTGAATTTATGTCTTTAAGGTCATTTTTAAAGAATTTCATAAGTGTTTGAAAGTTCAGTCTTGCTGCTTCCAGCTTACCGTGCCATACTGAACCAGCCTGTGAAGAACGTGAGGGACATCCTGGTCAACCAGACGGCCCACATGTTGGCCTGCTACAGGAAGAACTGCGCCAGCCCATCAGCTGCAAGCCAGGTCAGAGAAATGAAGAAAAACATTTAGCGATTCTCATTTTAGCATAAAAAGCTCCTGTTTAACTGTATTTTTCTGTATGCAGCTGATCCTGCCTGATTCCATGAAAGTGTTCCCAGTCTACATGAACAGCCTGATGAAAACGGCTCCACTAGTGGGCAGCACTGAGCTCTCCACAGACGACAGGGCCCACCAGCGGCTGTCTGTCATGGCTATGGGGGTGGAGGACAGCCAGCTGCAGCTCTACCCACGCCTCATCCCGCTGGTAGGTGCAGGCAGACAAACCATGCATGGTCAGCGGTTCTTTGATCAAAACGTCAGTGAACCATGCTCCCTGTCTCCCAGCACAATGTGGACGTCAGCAGCGAGGCGGTGCCTGATCCGGTCCGCTGCTCTGAGGAACGCCTCTCAGACTCCGGCCTGTTTCTGCTGGAGAACGGGCACTCCATCTTTCTGTGGCTGGGCCAAGCGAGCCCACCGGATCTGATCCAGAGCCTCTTCAACGTGCCCTCGCTCGCCCATTTGCAGCAAGAACACATGGTGAGAAATCATCACGTTACACACAGATGAATTTAATGGCAATTAGAACAACTGAGTGTGTTAATGTGGCCTAGAATCACAAATGCCACTTCTTCCATTAGTAGAATCAATATTACAAAATTGTGCTTTAAACTTTAACCTTCTTTGTGTGCTTAGTTCACGCTGCCAGAGCTGGACAACCCTCTGTCAAAGAAGGTGCGAGCCATCATCAGTGAGCTGCTGGAGAAAAGGCCAAACTCTATGAAGGTAACAAACTACTGTGAAGTGACGACCACAGCACAGGCTCCTCTCCTCATGTTACCTGGAGTCCTTACGTCATCATGAAGTTTCCAGCTCCTTTACAAAGTGCAAACCCGTAACATTTTTTCTCATCCTGCTCAGCTGCAGATCGTGAGACAGAAAGACAAACCGGAGATGTCGTTCCGTCAGTTCCTGGTGGAGGACAAAGGCCTGCATGGCGGCGCCTCCTACATGGACTTCCTGTGCTACGTTCACCGGGAAATCAGGCAGCTGCTCACCTAAGCTGACACACCTGGCCTCAGAACATTTCAGTTGCTCCATAACACATTTGTAAGATATATGAATGATAACTTGACTGCAGACAGCCTTCAAGAAGCCCAGAGCCCAAAGGTGCCTCTGGGATGGTTTGATCTGCAAATAACATCTCGTCATTAAGAGCTTGCAGTAAATGAGGATCTAAAATCCACTTTGGCCTCAGCAATACATCATCCAGTCTAATTTCATTACTTTGTAAATTATTTTCTGATAAAGACAAAGGGTTATTTGTGTAGACATTTTGTGTTAATCTTCCAAGAAGAAGTATTTAAGTTGTTATTTTTCGAACAATAAATACTCAAATGTTTAAATGGCTTTTAGATGTTTATCATGTTTACTTTATCATCGGACTGGAAAGTGCTTTACAATAACCAGATGAAAAATTCTAAACTGTAAAGAGTGACAGCAAAAAAAGCTTCTGGCTGCAGGAACTGAAATTCTGTCCTGCTTTTACGCCAGGAGTGACTCAAAGCGTTCGATTCTCACATGCCTCCTCTGAAAGTCGCATTCTTTGTCCATTTATGGCTGAGCTTCCGTCGACCTGCAGCGATGCAGAAAGAGCTTTGTTTTGCTGTTCTGAGCTCACGACGAAACGAACGCAGCTGTCGCTTGGCAGCAAACAAGGGCGGGAGGAGAAAAGACATTTCTTTTCTCCTCTTGCCTCAAGTCCTTGAGCTGCTGCTGCTGAAAGGGAAAACATCTATTCAGACAAAAGACTGGCTGGAACACATCAAAAAGATTTTTAATTTGTTCCTGTCGTGAGTTGCACATTTTTATAGAAAGTTATTTTAAAACCAAATTAAAAACAGTCAAACTTATTCATTAAATGCAAAATCAAATTTAGCCAAAGTGTCAGCCTACCTTCAGTGTATAGATCCATTAAATCTATGTAGAAAGAGCCTTCAGTACTGTATCATCTCACTGTATTACATTTCTTTCTATTCCAGATATTATCCTGTCCTGTGTTGATGCAGCCAGTATATTCATTTTTTGTATTTACACAATTTTACCAAATGCCTTAAGTTGATTTATTTGTTAATATTCCTGCCAGAGAGGTAAATGACCAGCAGTTGTGTCACTTTAGTTTGTATGCAAACTTATCTCAGGTGATTTCTGTCCATTACCATTTCAAGTTGAAAGCAGTGATTTGGTTTGAGCTGGAATGATGGAGTGACTCAACGGTCTTCGATGCTTGTTCCGATTCCTAACTGTAATCAACTTTTTGTTTTTGGTAATTAAACTTTTGACTGAAACAATTTCGCTCGTTTGTTTCTTTAGTCGCTACAGTAAAGAAATTAGGATATCATCAACAATTTAATTCAGGTAGTAATACTCATTTAGATTCATTGCACACACTGATATTTTACTTCTGCTCATTTTGATGATTTATAACTAATACAAAATTGTATATTTAATATGTAGAATATTGAATAAGATACATTTTTCAATATAAAAATGTTCTGTCTAGAACAATTATGGGAAAAACTGCTGACTTGACAGTCACTGACACATTACACAAGTTTAAGTGACAAAATGTCAAGTGTCTTGCTGTCCATAAGGTGGATATGTACAGATAATAAACCACAACCACTCAAACAGCTAAAATCCTCCAATATCTGAGGTCTCCTCTTGAAATGCTGGTAACTGCCTGTTTCACCAGAGACAAATTATTTGCTAGTGAAAGCTGATTTTTAAAGTAAACTTTTTAAGTCAATTAGAGAAAAACAAATCTCATTCATTTGCATAAAAAAAAAAAAATATGACTATGAAAATATTCTACAGGCATTGGAAAACATTTGAATGACCCCAGAACCGTTGAGTCTCAATTTCCATGTGTGATAACCTGTTGCTACCACATGGGGGCATTAGCTGATCTGTATTTAGTTTGAAGCGACTCTCAGCTGCTTTTTAACATCAAAAATGTGTTCATATAATTTTAATTTAAATGAATAACTTTTCATTCTGTATAGAGAGATGAACCCTTCACATGATCTCTACTTCATGGACGATTCTTATTTTCACAGAGTGAAAAAAAACAAGTGGTCTGAAAATAATCAATGACATGCTATGATAATATTTAAAATGGTGAATCCAATAAAAACAATGTTGACCAACTCAGTGCAACTAAACCTTGTTCTCTGTTGTGACAAAGCCTCAGATCATATAAATAAAATAATATTAATTTTACTGTTTAAACTCTATAAATAAAACAAAAAGCTCAAAGCCCTAAAAAATAAAGAAAAAAAACCTTTTTACACTAAAGAAATTTTTAATTTTAATACTTCAAGTCTAAAAGAAATAAAGCTTAAAGTTAAATACAGTTAATAACAAAATAAATGACGAAGATGAGTTCTTAAAAGCCAAAATTAAAATATACTAAAGTTCTTAAGCGTACCTGCATTTATAGGTAGTTTGGCGAGTCTTTTTGATTTCAAATGTGTGAGAGAAACATCAGAAATATTGTCTAATGAAAACCAGTAAGTACATATATAATGTCCAGACAAGTAGTTTCCATCCATCAGATTGTTACCCAGCATGCTTAGCTTTTTCCTCCATTTAGTGCCACTCAAATCCTTCACTCAGGAACCAATCACATTGATTCAGAGCCAGACTTTGCCCTGCAGGGAATGAAGGAGGGGGAAAAAAAACAGCAAGAAGAAACTTTGCAGACAACAAAGAAATAATGCATCGAATCCGAGATCACCCGCCAAACCCCAGTGGTTTTTACTGTTAAAGCAGCAGATTACAAGAACAAGTCTGAAGACCTGGAATTCCTCAGAGAGCAAGTTTTCATTTAATACTGTACAGCTGACGATTGTTTTATACAATGACCATGACCTGGAGACGACGCTGCCGAGAACTCCTCTACATGAAAAGAAGAGTAAAAATCAAATGAAGATCTACATACATCATGTCAAAAAATACATCAAAAGCAGCTTAGCCTCCCATTTCATTTTTATCTCGCATGATACTTGCGGTAAACTCTTGCTACAGATGCAAAGAAATTTGCTGCAACCTCCAGTAAAGATATCCAAAAGACCTTTAAATATGTACATTTCTTTCATTTGCAATGTGGAAATTCTGCAGAAATGCTCAAATTAAGGTTTGGATTCCTTGTAATGTTTTTCAAATTGGGAAAAGAATCTCTTAAAAATATGATCTTAGAAACATTTCAAAGTTGAACTGAGTTTCTGGGAGTTTTAATTTGTAATAGAAGAGTATTATGCCTCCTTGGGTATAAATATGGCATGACATATTAGCTGCTCTTCAACATGGGAATGACCTCATAAGACCTGATGTAGCCTGATAGAGTTGCAAGAAAAACTATTCACCCAAACCTGCAGATATGAAAGAGGGTCAGAAAGAGGGCAGATGAATAGATTAAAAAGTCTTTATCCATCAGCTGTGTAGTAGGATTGCCTACCGAACCACAGAATGACTCAGTCTACATAAAAACATCAGAAAACTTATTCAGTGCTATGCCTGCCTGGGAAATTTGAAGAAATTATCTCTTTGCAAACACTAACCATCTGGTCTGGTCCAAATGCCCTGCTAAACACTTAAGTTACAGATTACAAACTCATTCAAAAACATCAAAGATGTTTGAACGATTTGAAAGCGTGATTCGCTCATCACAGTAGGATTTCTTGTTTAAGAAGAGTTTCATATTTTAAAAGGTATAAAAGTTAAACAGCTGAAAAATCTTAAAACAGCTGGACATTTTGTACAAAAAGTAGTTGGTCAAAAAAAAAATCATCAGGAGGAAAAGAATCTTTAGACTGTGAATGTTTTATGAGATTCTTAGAATCAACATAGTCATGCTAAAGGCTCTATTTTGCAACATTTTCCACTGTGAGATTGTGCTACTGCAATAAGAGAATCATTTATTTTAAGGCTTTATATACATCTTTACCAGGAGTACCAACAAATTTGTCCACGTCTGTATCCATGTGCTTAAGTGATGGTCCAATTTTGACATCAATACAATCCTTGTGTTGTCTCGTCTGCAAGTGAACATGAGCAGAATTGATATTTTCTCATCTAATGTCATATCTTTGAATGTACGACTTAAAGTGGTGCAACTTGGTTTTTGTCCCTCTCTAAATTAAGAGTAAAATCACAGACCACGCTCGTCTAAGTCAGATAAGAACACTCTGGAACTTAGAGCAGGTTGTTCAATATTTCTAAAGCTGTGAGTCACAGTGATTTCACTTGACAGTAAATAAAACAAAGTGGAAAATTAGAACTTTATGTGTGATTTCATTTTACCGCATTTTTAAAACATGAATTTGAACCCTATTTTGACATCTTAAAACAAAAGATGAATTCCAGAGTGTTCCCAACATGCTGCCTATGTCTACTTGTGGCCCAACAGTAATAATGAACAAGATTTTATGTCTGGTCAAAAGTCTGCATAGCACACTGTACACAGTATGAGTCCAAGTCAGTAACTGGGCCATGCTAAAGATGATGTTCCTCTCCAAAGCTCCGGCTGGCGGCCAAAAGTTAGAGAACGTTTTCAAAGAGATGCATCGATCGCATGATGTTTTCATCCTGGGGATTATGAAAACGAAAAGGGGAGACAATATGATCGACAACAGTGAGTTTAAGCCAACAGTAGCGAAAAGTCGGGGAGTTGTGGGGATCCAGCTTACATTTTGGCAGCAGTCAATGAACTCGTCTATGGTTACCACGCCGTCTTTATTTTTATCCATCTTCTGTTAGAAAGGGAGGACAGAAAAGATGAACAAAACAAACACCCCAAAGGGGGCGGGGGGCCGATTTTTCAGAAACTATAAACACAAATACACTTGCCTGGAAGAATACTTCTACATGCTGACGAGGCGTCTCCTCTTTCAGGACGGGATATGTGCATTTACCCATCATGTCGTAGATAGCCTTCATGATGTCCAGCATTTCCTGTCATGTGCACACAAACAACACCCTAAAATGTTAAAAGAAAAAAAAAAAAAAAGAACCTGGAAATAAAATTTAAACTCTAACACAAATGACTAAAATAAAGAGCATAAAGGTTGTTAAACTGTGTGGCCTTACTGTGGTTTTACTTTCATATGCAGCTTCTGTCAAACTATGTTTACAGCAGTGACTTATTTTTCTTCAGTGTCTGAGCCAAATGAGTGATAAATAATACATCAGTGTAATTACTTGACTTCCAGCCCCCACATGCGCCATTAGCTTGAAGTGACTTTTAAATGATATGAGAAGGTTTATGCTTAACTTCCTGCTTCTTCCTGAGAAAATAGAAAACACAGAAATAGTCACCTAATGAACACACATTCAAGTTCAAGAGGTGACTATTTCTTGTATGTTTATTGTCCTGCTTATTGATGGCAGAGTTTGGTGTTCTATTTTCAACCTCATTGCATTTCTGCAACTTTTGTCTGTGTTCATGGGATTTAAAGGCCAAACACAGAAAGGTTGCAGAAAGTCATGATGCGTCTTTCAAATCACCTTCCATTCAACTGAAATAAACTTTCCACATTAAAAGTGTCGACAGTGATGTTGCTGAAGTACTCCCAGTGTGAAGGAGACTGTGGATTATTCAGACACTGTTCAAGGATGGGAGACATTATATAAAATTGAAGCCCATCAACAAACACTGAATCAACAGTCACAAAGTTTTATTCATGCTCATTTAATCCCTGTGTGAATTATATCTGCTGGCAGTAGCTTTTCATCCAGACCCAGATAAAGCAATCAAGTGCCAGACACTTTGGTTTTTGTCCAAAAGCTTCAAAACTAATGGCAATCCTTGGAGTGCTGGCTGTTAAAAGTTAATTATTTCTTTACAAGTTTTGTTTGTCTCTTGCAAAGCACTTTGAAATATACTTCATGTGCAAGGTTGCAGAAATAAAGTTGAGAGTACTGACTTGTTAAATTATCAGCCTCTGCTACGGACTAAGCTGAAGGGCTGTGAACATGACATAAATACAACTCCGGCAACCTAAGAGACAGGATGTTTCTCAACGAGTACTATGGGTCAGCTTCTGGTTTCAAGACACCGTTTTCAGAACAACAAAAGTAACGCAGGATGCCAATTTAATGACACAAACAAATCTAACTGGAGTTTTACAGGTTACTTAAAGTGTTGACAATCAAAATACTTGATCTTGATTGGATGACGTGAAGTCAAGTCCATCAACAGAGCACTCTGAGAACAACCAAAGCTGGCTAAAGTGGTTCATAAAAAAGCAATATTTAGAATAGAACAAAGAAAAAATAGCATAGAATCTCTATGTAGATGAGAAAAGAAAAAGAAAAAAAAAAGACCCGTCCAAACTTATGTTAGATATGCGTTTTCCTAAATGCTGTAATACTGGCTGAAGCATAATGGAAACCCCGCCCCAAAAAAACTGAGATAAATTGGAAACATCAGGAATTAATATTAAAAAGTCAGAAGGTTGGAGCCACTGATTAAATCCCAGAGATTGTTTGAAACAAAGGACGTTTTGATAATTAATGCCTGTGGTCGTCCTTTATTAAAAGAGATAATTATATTATAATGTACCTCTTTAGTGATGTATCCATCTTTATTGATGTCATAAAGGTTGAAAGCCCAAATGAGCTTTTCCTGCACTGTTCCTCGCAGCAGGATCGAAAGCCCCATAACAAAATCCTGAAACAGAAACAAGAACTGCTTACACGTGTACAAAATATCACACCAGGAAAAAACAAAAAGAACAAAATAAACAAAACACAACACACATCTCAGATTTCAAATCCCACGAGGTCAACAAACCAGCCTTGATGCCTCTACGTTTCTGCTAGCGCACACAATCCATGTTGGTTATTAATTAGAGATGAATGATGAAGCAGCAAAAGTGGAGGCGCCATAAATCAAAAATACCTCATTATTCAAATGATCAAAAAGCTTATGCTCTGTGTGGGACCCCACAGGGAATCACTGTGTTTCTGCAGAACTGACCGAGCAAAAAGCAAGAGGGGGGGCTTCAGTTTGGAGTGATGACAGCTCCTCTGTCCTAATAAGCAAATATCTGTCCCTCATAAATATTAATAAAATGCTGCCAGCATCACAAGTAAACTTGGCTGGGTTGAATAAAAAAATGATAGAAGAGACATTTTTGACTTGATTCTTTGGAGAAATCCAGCTTTGGCGTACTGATGGACTTTATAATAAACTGTCAGACCCTACAATTAAGTCAAATATTATTTGAGTTCCACCTCTACTACTTCAATTCTTTACTATGACGATATAACTACAACCAATTCTTATTTTTGGTCCAGCATCTTGCTCACCTCAAAGCTCACAGAGCCATTGTGATCCGTGTCAAACGCGTTGAACAGGAAATGTGCATACGTCGAAGCATCTACAAAGAGGAAAAAATACACAAAGTCAAAAATCATTCGTGACCATTACAGCCCATCTAACATCAAAAGTAGCACCGTCTGGTAAGAAAACAGTTCAAAGCCTTATTATTATGCTCTTTAGTAGTTATTTGTGCAGCTTCAAAGAAATGAAGCTCTTGTAGAGAGAAGAAGAAAACACAGACTGGGAGCTGAGAGTTTTCTCCTGGTTTCCTGTGTGGAGGAGCTTCTGTGTTTACTGGTCTGCTTGTCTTCTCACTGAGTGCATGAATCAAAGCCTTCTAATGCTTCCTCTATTTTTCCTTGAGTGGGAATTATAATGATGAAGGCTGACGGCTGCACATGTAAAATATAATCTAAATTTTTTAAGCTTTTGCTTTGGTTGTAATTTAAGTACACTGGACTTGATGAGACAACTGAATGTATTAAAACACAGAAAATGGGACATGGTTACATCCTACTCCGTACCTCCTTGTGGAAAAAACTGTGCGTAGATATCTTTAAAGGTTTCTTCATTGACGACGCCACTTGGACACTCCTGGAAGACAGGAATTAACAAAGATCGTTTCCCAATCATAACAAAGACTGTTTTCCAGTTTGAAACTTTGCTTCAGTTGTAACGCGTTTGCACTGAATTAAACAACCTCCTCTGAATGGGAAAATTTTGATTCTTTTTTTTCCTCACTTTTCTTCTTTCTGTGCATCTTTGTGCAGACTATAATCCCAACCTAAGACCAGTGGCATTCAGCTGCAAACCCTCCGCACCGCAACAGAGATTTTATCTAGAGCCTTTTGAAGCCGCCCACCTTTGAAGGTGGCATTCACTGAAAAGACATTTATGTAACGCCTCCAAGAAAGACACTTTTGTGCCATTTTAGAGAATCAAAGATATTGCGGATGACCTTGGTCAGAAGCAGAGCGCTGATGAAGAAAGTTAGTTTTTGCAGGCTCTGTTTAGCTTCTCTTGCTGCAAATCTGCAGCACACTGAATATTTAAGATATAAGGAACTGAAACAGAGAGAACAAGGTCAATGCTTGTTCTCTCTTGAGAATTCTTGAGATTTTTCAGAGTGGAAACCATTTTGTTTCTTGCATGTAGAAATAACCAAAATGGAGGTAGTAGCTGTAAACTAAACAGCAGCATAGATCACTGATGGAAGAGTTGCTGCCATGTGATTGGCTAATTCACAATTGTCATTACACAACTACACAGATGTACTTACAAAGGTAGTAAGCAAATACACACCACAACATGTGGATACAAGTTTCCCAGCAGAAGGCTTGGCTCATTGTCTGTAGAAGAGGATGTCAGCTTACTGCTTAATACCTCAAGTTGGATTCAATAGGACTGCTACAGAAATGTCAAAATATGATATGATACAATGATTTGCTCATTGTATCAAAGGAATAAACATTAGTAGGAAAAAGAGGTGTTGAAGCCATTTTCTGCAGGCAATGCATATTTTCCCCCAGAACTAGTTGTGAAGCATCACTGTTCTCCCAATTTCTAGAAGCCCGAAAACAATCAGATTTTTCTCTGGCGAAAGAAAAGCAACAATTAATTCTGCTGGATCATTCTCGAGAAAGGTTGTGTGCCGGTCAGATGCTTGAACATTGACAATTTTGTGAAATAAAACAAGTCTCAATAGCTCAAAAGGAAAATCAACCAATGCAAATTAATCATCTTTTTCTCCAAAGTGAATAAAACATTATATTTTTGTAAAAACAGCTTTGATTTGTGTTTAGATCAAAGACAAAATTAGATGCAACACATTTAAATCCGTTTAAATGAGGTTACTGTGAAGAGCAGTGTTTGTCACTGGCTGACATTCTTTATGGATGAAGATGAGCTGGACATTCATAAACACCAAAAGAATAAAAGTAATTGAAAAATAGAAAAAAAAAAAAAAACCCAACAAAGTTTGGATTCAAGTACTTGGCTGTAAGGTTCGGTACAAACTGGAAAATGTGAATCTATTTTCTCTAGAAGGTTCGTCTAATTCCTTTCTCGCACTAGCAAATAATTGTGTTCATATTTCACCATTAGAGAACCCTGGGCAACAATGGTGCGACTGACGAGGCGAAAAGGGGAAGAAAAGCTGCTGCTCTGATGTCAGACTTCAGTTTGCTAAACATTAGATTCAATAAACAAGACGGAAAGCTGCCAGGAAAACATCGTTCTGCGAACAACCGAGACCAAAATAGAAAGCTTTAAGGAATCCTAAAGTTTGGAAGAAGATTAGACTGCATTCCAGCAAACACAGGGACATCTGTCTATAAGCTAAATCTCATAGAATAACTAGGAAGAAGGGCAACCTGCCTCTCCTAACAAGAAAGAATGAAGTTGATATTTTAGATTGACAAAAAAAGAAGTAACAGTAGATTGTCTGCAAACCTGAAGTGACAAAAAGCCAGACCTTCTTGTCACTTTGAAAGCTGACAAGAAGGTCTGGCTGCTTGAAAGAACAATATAAATCAAAGATGACAGATGACTGAAAACCTCTGAGATTTTCCAACTGTAAAGCAATGCTGCTAAGAAAATCTTTGAATATAAGAAATTCTGACTTAGCCTCTTTCCCCTTGCTATTAATTATGTGTGGTCATAAAATGTAGAAAAAAGATGGAGAAATAAAGAAAGTAAAGATGAAACATTGTAGTTCTGCTTTAAACAAGTGTTTTGTGTTTGGAATCTCAGAGAATAAGAGGAAGTTCTCTTCACAATTCCTCTGAGACCCTTTTGTGTCTAACCCACTTTTAGAGAAAGGATTTTTTTATTTTTTAGGTAAGACAGAAGTCAGGGAAACCAGGGAAAGACAAGTCAGCTTTAATATTTTCAGACTGGAGCACACTGAGACATTCATTTATCTGGCTATTTTCAATAAAGTCCCATACTGATATCTTCTATTTTTGCTTTTGTTTCAGACTTGGAGCATCAAAAAAACTTCATTATAAACAGAGTAAATGCAAAATGCAGATTTCAAACGATGTTTAGGGTAAAAAAAGATACCCATAGCACATTTTTTTAGAATACATTTTACTAGCCATCCTAAAGACTGTTTACTGCAGAGTACATAGAATCAAGACAATCCTTAAACTCAACTTGTCTCACAGCTGGAAGTAGGACAAAAACTCAAAAAGCAAACGAGGAACATAGTTACTAACATCTATCGGTTTGAAAAGTGTTTCAAATGCATTTCCAGGAGAATCGAGATTCAAGTGGACAAGAGTGGGAGCATTTTTCAACAAATGGAGGAAATATGAAACAGTGAGCGTGTGAACTTTTCCATGAGACGGCCTCGTCTCATCCTCAATGAGACGAGATGAGACGAGACGGCCTTGACGACTCATCCAGGAAGTCCCAAAGAATTACTGGCCTCATGTGACTTAGCTGATCTTGATTCAAACAACAGAGAAACAGAGACTTATCAAAAATTGTATTAATCACAGTTGATCATGGAGAACACAAAGACCTGGCTCACATTTGCATAAAAAATGATCCAAGTGATTTTCAAGACTTTTAGGATATTATTCTGTGGACTGAAGAGACAAGAGCTGCACTTTCTGAAAAGTGTGTTTCTCACTTCAAAAGGTGTGAAAAAAAAAAGCATTTCAGAAAACACCATCCAAGAACTACTGACAATGTGGTGCTACTCATTGAAGCATAATTTCTTCTCTCTATTAGAAATACAGAAGGAGAATATATTGCCTCTGCTTTGTGACCTCAAGTTCAAATTTCAGGACAGGAATAATCAGAAAGTTCATCCCTAATTGTTTAAAACACAGTGAAGGTTTTGTATTGGCCTCCAAGTGACAGTTTCAGTTCAAAAACATCGAATATGACTGAACTAAAATCCTCCACAGAGATATAAAAAATCATAAATGCTTTTTAACACCTGGGCAAGTTGATGGCAGAAGGGCGTTTAGGCTGCTTAAACATGACTCCCAGTCAGAAATGATGTTACTTTAAAAAAGGCTTGGATCTGGCCAGCTCCGCATTACATTTTATTTATCTGTTTAGAACATGATAGCTGTATAAAAAAACAAGGAACACAAAAGACACAATAATCTTAAGATGCTTGAAAAGAAGTAGGAAGAAGTAAGAAACTTATGAACTTCTACACAATAAACTCATACAATATTTTTAGATGGACCCTCATTATTAAATCAAATAATAATAATAAAAAAAAACCCTCTCAACTTCGTATGTCAATTTTAACATAATTTGTATAATTTGAGGATAAAAAAATTTGAGCATCTAGTATTTTGTCCAGAGCACAGTTTCCCATTGGCCAAATGTGAATGAATATTTTAGAGATGATGGGATGTTTACCCGCACAGTTTAACCTCACTTCAACATGCACTTTAGATTACAGCTCACCACACCATTAGCACTCTAATGTATCCTGCTAACGTAGCCTTGCTCTGGGTCTGCTGGTTCCTCTGAAATGTGTGGCTCTTTGTGACAAACATTTTGGGAGCCCGAAGGTCAGCAATCAGAGTGATGTTTTACCGTACGACCCCGATGACATAATTCATCAGCGGTTGCATTTTATATTTTTATTCTCGTGACGATGCTAGTCGGAGAGGCAATTTATCAACTGAGTGCTGCCCGCTGGTCATCAAGTTATGATTCAGTGTTCTTGCAATTCAATTTGAGGTTAACGGTAATAGCTACATCGTCACAATTGGCCACATCAGGATAGCAATGTTCTCATAGCCTTGTTTTGAATGTTTTTAATTTTGTAGTCATAAATGTAACCATAAACCAAGAACAAACAAGAAATGACTATGTAATTAATTTAGTTTTCTCATATCTCATTGACATTGTCAGCGATTACAAGGGACTCAAAAAATTAATCTGTAGGCCTATTTGTGCAGGCGCGACGTCTGGGAGTGAAATCACGCTGTGAACAAAGATATCAGGAACAAGACAACACAAATTGAGAGCTCTTAGTCAAGTGCTTCAATTGGTGACCTCAGGTGATCTCCAGGAGTTGAGGTCAGAATCAGAGGGCTTGTTTTGTTCCCCATTTGGCTCATTTCCAGATCTAGAGCCAAAGCTCCGAGAGGCTGCTTCATAAAGTCACCTGTCAAATTAAACGACCTCCGTCTGCCACCTGCATCAGAGGCATTCGATTTGCCTCGAATCTTTGGACAACAAGGACAAAGAGGCCAAACTTCTCATCATGGGAAGCCGGCCAGCTTCTATTAGTCTGCTGCCCTGAAAAGCTCTCCTTCACTCTGCCAATGACACCAGAACAAGACAAAGTGGAGCTGTTTGTCTCCAGGGCTTCAACGAGGGAGAGGGATGAAAAACATTCAGCAGCAGTAATCCGAGCGCCATCACCATTTGCTTCTTTACAAAGACTTTTGCTCCAGCATAATGTAATTATACAAGAGGGATAAATAATGCATAAACAACATGAAATATTATTTGTACAAACTATGAAGTTTAAGTGGAAAAGAAAAGCCTGAGAGAGACTGATAATGCCAAGTTTACCATCCTTTGGAGGAACGCATCAGTAGATTGGCTTCATCGTTGTTGCTCTCACAGATATATGCAGCAACTATGCAGAGTGCTTGAGCAGCTTTGAGGCGGGCTAAACAATTATTGTTTCAAATTGTGCACAATTCACAGTTGTATTTTTTGCACTTCAAAGACATTATAATCACCCTGTAAATTATTGTGCAACAACCTCAATTCATCAGCAGACTGTGTATTTGGTACTTAAGTGGGAACAACTTGGTTTCCTCACTGCATGTGTCCCACAAGTGAGCGTGTTTGCAGTCACGTCTTGAGTCAAAAGTAGATATTGCAATGCATCATGGGATATGAGCAAGTGCTACTCGATGCTCATGACTTTCCTCTTTAGGACTGTTAACACACACCTGCATCCTCCTGACCATCAAACTGCCTAAAAGCGATGTGATCTCAACTGCAGCTTTTCCATTTTAGTTTCTATTTTGATAAGAAAAAAATGAAACAACACTATCTGTTATGATTTTTCATACACCATACTGGGTTTAAATAAATTTCATAATGACTGGATCATCTGTAATACATCCTGATACATTAAAACAAGGATGTAATTTATTATTAAATGCTTTGAAATATCTTTTTTCATATTTTATCTCCATACATAAGCTGGGCTAAAGTTCTATATTCACATCTGACAAATATTTATAATTATTGACATGATTTAGAGCAGTGATGTCAAACTCCAGTCCTCAAGAGACTTGTAGTCCTCTACAGCTTCTAGATGTGTCCCTGGTCCATCACACCAGAGTCAAATGGCTGAATTACCTCCTCAGCATTTGATCAAGTTCTCCAGAGTCTTGCTAATGACCTAGTTATTTGACTCAAGCGCGTTCAATTGAAGACGCATCTAAAAGGGGCAGGACAACGGCCCTCGAGGGTTAGAGTTTGACACCTGTGATATAACTGCAGAGGCGAAAGTAAATCACAGAGTCCAAGATGCTTGAGATGAAAGTTTTCACATCACCTGCTGATGTTGGTTCACTGTGTTTTATAAAACTGGAAATCAATGGAAACTTAAGAGATTTTGTGGTTCTCTGATGACAAGCTATAGGAAGACGCTAAATTCAATTTCACACTGCACCATGCCTGGTTTATCCTCCACCTTATTGATGTACTAGAGCGGCCAGAACCCTCACTTGACCTAAACCCAATAGATTATCTATGGAGTATTGTCAAGAAGGAGACAAAAGACACCAGAGCAAGTAACTCAGATAAACAGAATAAAAAAAACCTGGATTTGCAGAAGAACAACAGGCTGATTTATTCATTTAAAAAGAGCCAAGAGTGAATGCATACTGTGCTGTATGTGGGGATACTGTTCAATAGGCTGGCATTTCAAATCTAATTGGGTGTAGAGGACCAAAAAATTGTGCTTTTTTAATTATTCTTTTAATGGCTGACAATTTATCTGCTGGTTCTGTGTCAGATCAACAGTAATCTGCCATGACAAATGAAGAGTAATATATAAGTAAGGTCATTTAAAAATAGATCAATGCTAAAAGCACATTTTTCATCTCCTAACTAATGGGATCGGGAATAGTCCTTTCTATACTTATCCAGACTTGGGAAATGATCAAAAGTAATTCCAATATTTATCAGTGTCTCAAAGACTGCAGGGATCCTGAAACTCTAACCTGAATTACTAATAAGTAATCTGAACTATTTATCCAAAATACAGTTAATAATGTAAAGTAACTTTAAAATCCTCAGATTTTGAAGTTACAGCTGAGCTTTTATAACAATTGGTGCAAAAGTGCAAAGAAAGCAGTAAAGAAAATTAGGTGTATTAGTTTAGGGATTTGAGAGGAAATCCTGCAGTCAACCTCTGCAGTGGAGCTTGTAAAAGAATAATTCAATAAAAAAAAAAAAAAAAATCAAAGCCAGGCAAATGTTTTAAATATGTTGGAGAGAGGGGTGTTGGAATCGAGACGAAAGACTAGTGTTGTAGATAATATATATAGCGTAGCTCCACCGTGGGTCTATCACTTACATTCTTGAAGCCGCGGTAAAGGATCTGGAGCTCCTTCCGGGAGAATCGTGTCTGTGCCTCGAGCTGCTCCAGGCCCTCGGGGCGATGTCGGACTGCAGAGAGTTCCAGCTCATCTTCAACGCTGTCTGAAAGGGAGAAGGAGCCAGCGGTCAAACTAGATCAAACCCTCACTGGAATAAATCTGATCTGCAACCAGGAGAGCAAATATACAGCGCTCTGCAAAACTATCAATGACCTAAAATGTTTTACATTTTAACAACACAATCCAGGGTTTTTTTTATAGACCAGCAAAATGAACAAGTGAATAGGAAAGAAAATTAAATGCGTACGTTTGCATTCGACCCCCCACCTTCCACCAGCGATTTGATACGCACAAATAAGATTCAAGCTCAAAATATAAGTCAGGTTCTTTGTTAATTGAGCCCATATGTGTTTAATGTAACATTAGTACACAAACATTATGAAGATCAAGGAGCACAGCAGACAGGTCAAAAGACATTTGTGATTAATTTTAAAGCACAGATGGGATATGAAAGGCCTATAAAATCCAGTTTGGTTAAATTAGAAATAGAAACATTATAAACACATAAAAAATAAATGAAGCAAAGTGGTGGCAGCATCATGCTGTGGGAATTATTTTCTTCAATAGAGTAGGGAAGTTAGTCAGAGCCGATGGGGAGATAAATACAGATCAGTCATGGAAGAACATTTTTAATAGCCTGTTAGAGGTGTTAAGATGACCTAGTCAAAGTACAGATCTAAATCCAAGGGACAATCGGATTGAACGTGATTTTGCTCAAATAAACCGGCATAAAATAGTTTGTTGCAAACTCCAAAATATCTGTAGCAGCTGTTTTAGCAACATTTGACCACCAGGGGTTGAACGCAAATGAACATTTTTTTTATTTAGGCAACCATTTTCAACGCATTTCAGGAATGTGAAGATGTTCACATTCCTGTTGTATCAGATATTACATCTGATACAACTCAAGGCACAGGAATATTGTACTTCCTGAAAAGTACAATATTGAGGATAAACATTTAGCCATAAAATGCTGTACATCTGATAAAATACCTTCTGGTAGTCTGATGTACCTTATTTTATCAGGTTTCTCATCGAGCCTTTAATTAAAAACAAACAAAACACTCCTTTCTTCTCTAAAACAAATATGATATCAGAAGTAATTAGTGTAGATGAGACCCCTGAACACAAGTCAGTGTGGCAGAGAGCCGCTGGATGAGAGTGCACAGTAATAAACCCCGAGGAATGCTTTAATGGGCTTATTATGATGGCAGACGCTGTCTGGGCACTGTCACTGCTCTGCAGCGTCCTCGCAGCGCTGCGCTCCACTCTCATACACCTGAAGTGTGACATCCTGTCTAAGTGCCTCATTAGCATCAAAGAGTTTTGCTGCACCCAACAATAAAAGGCCAAATATTCCTGCAGACCACATTTCACCTGTTGCTGTGGAGCAAAAGCAAGGCTGTCAAAGGCGATGTTTCTCTAAACCTGGTCAAGATGAAATGGAACAAAACAGGTAGCACCCATAGCATTTTGAACATTCAAGCATTCCTTTTATGTTTGGAAATAAATCTGCAAACATTTCTCAGTGAATTGGTGAAAGGCAGATAACCAAAGCCTTGAAGGCCACAAAGAGAAAGACAGAAGAAGGCCTGTAAAAATCATCATAGAGAGAAAAGCCACTTGCTTTGATTGCAGGAGGATGGCTTTTTGCCTGTGGAGCACGGCAAGAGCCTCATGAGTCGAGCTCTCACCCCTCGCTTGTGGACAATCTGAGGGTAACCTGGGAAATACAGCATCATCTCTCGTGGTTACCCAGGCAACAGCCTCAAGTGCATTTGCTACAGGAAGCTACAGGAAGCATGCAGGAGATGAGGGGTGCATTAATGCTCAAATAGACAAAATTGGCCTCTGATTTTTCAGGACAACACTGCAAGTATTGTGAACAGTATTAAGGTGACAGCTGGTGGCGTAAAGACAACGCTGACAATAGATGGTTTTAAATAAAACTGGTGACTGGTGGGTGTGTTAGTTTTACTACAGCTAAGCTGCAAATTTAAGCTAGCAAGAGAGGGAGACTGTATTGATGACAACAGATTACTGTCAGTGTGCTAAAACACGATTCATTAAACTTTAGATGCATTAAATTTATGAAGTATGTCACATCGAGCTGTCCAGGAGTTGTTCTAGTTTCTCAAACTTCCAACATGTAAGATGTTCTTTTCCTGAAGTTCTGATTTACTTTTATACCAGATGTAACAAAAAGCAAAAAAAAAAAATATATATATATATTTTGTTATTCCACAAAACATTTTACTAAAAGTCTCCAACATGTTTTTGGTCAAACTGAGACATGTTCCTGATCTGTTCTTGAACTACTTTAGATTTGTGCTTAAAGTGATTTTGGAGATTTTTGAGATATTTTAGCCTACTTCACTTTGTCATGCAGGTACTACTTATTTGATTTCTTGATTGAGGTTTTTCTGTCACTGTGCTGAAATTGTTCACATCTGGCCCTCAGCACCAAAAGAAATGAGTACATAAATAGTTAAAATGCATAGCATCCAAGCATTCAAACTGAAATCGTACAGTTTGCACTGAGCACCAAGTTGTCAGTTTAAGCAAGACTCCTGTTTAAAAGCTAACAACACCATTTCCCCTCCTACTCTGAGCCATTCTTAAAGATTTAGTGCGTCTCTAATGGCACCCGTGGATGCTCAGATAAGGCCTCTGGTGCTTCAAACTACTCCTCAATCATTTGGTGATTGGTGAAGACAAGGGCGGAGGGCACAGCGTGTTTGTGGCTAGTCAACACGACGCCAGGAGTGCTGATAAACCTCTACAAACCTGAGCTATAAAGAGGTGTCGCAGAAACAATTACCTCACAGAGTAGAGGCAGTGAAAATTGTCTCATAAATCTGGAGTCTGCCCGGCGACATTGTGGAGGTTTCAGGGAAAAGAGAAAAACTTGTCGGGAGAAAAATGACACATGGAAAGGTGAAATAATCTAGACTTCATATTATTCCTTTGTGAGTATGCTAAGTCGATTTGTAAAAGACTACTTCAGCTGAGTATAATATAAACTTGACCAGACTGGCGTCTCATTCCAAAACAACTAGACTTTGCAGGTTCTGCTCAGTGTGTCAACAGACTAAAAGCAGAATTGGGACTGGCACAGTCTTCATAATGATGAACAGGACTGTTAAAAAACAAACTTCTCTTCCTTGAAATATAGTCCTGTTACTTCAGTTGAAGGTTGCTTGATAGCACAGTAAATAATAGTGCAGTAACTCCAAAGGTTAGTGGATAAAACTCATAGGTTCCTGTTACTTCATTGCCAGCTTTCTTTCCTAACCTGATTGGAGAGGACACGTCTCACTGCCTTCACCGAGACTGAACTGGACAGATGTTCATTTTATAACAGAGATATATTAGTCTTGACAGCTGGCTGGCTGTATTCAGAAGCATTAGGTTACTACAGAGGGACATCCGTTCAAATTTAAAGCTCAAGGACAATGTGGCAGGGTTGGAGATCAAAAAAGGAGGCGAGAAGAAAAATGCTGCATAAAATGTTGCTCCTAAAAAAAACTAAAGTCAGGGTGGTTGATAAAAAGCCAAACCAATACCAGGGACACTCAGTTTCATGAAGATGAAATGAAAATTCAGCTGGTGATATCAATTGGTCTTGATAGAATCCCCAAAAACCCAGCCTTTTTCAGGTTGTTCAAAACTACAACACTCTTTGGTGTATAAGTATCTACAGAGAGAGAATGTTTCAAATTTAGCCATTTTTAGTGTCACAACTTAGACATCTGCAGCAAAAGAGAATTAAGTGGTAGATCTGGAGTCTTCAAGATCTCCTAGATGATAACGCAACACAGCAGCCTTTTCCTCACTCTCTCAGGTGTTCAGTCTGGATCCCTCGAACAGTTTGCATCCAGGGGATACTGTTGTGAGCCAGGAAGAGCCCAAATCTCCTAAATTCATCACGTCAGTCTTACATGTCTTGTCACTTTTTGTTGCAAATGTCTGACTTTACAATTTGTTTCTGTTTTAGTGGCTGTTATTTAATAGCAAACTTTCAGGGGGAGGAGCAAAGAAGGGGAACAAAGTCTACAGCCTCTCCAAATTCGAGGACCTGCGCACCAAAATGAGCACACGTTTATTTTGGATGTGTGCTCGTTTCTGACTTTACAGAATTTCCAAAATTTTTTGGAAATTATGTGAAATTAATTTAAAAACTTCTCAGTTTTTCGCAGTACATTTTTACCTTTCTTCTTCTTCTTTTATCTGCGATGGTCTTAACACTTTGATATCAATCACCAATGGATGACAAAATATCACAATCCTAATTAATATCATAATACTAATGAAAATCATGTCATTACAAATGAAGCCTTTATTTGGCTTTGATTTTGACTTTACTCCAATATAACATTGGATTGACAATTTGACAAATGCCAGGTCTTCAGTGCATCTGGGACAAAATCTTAGACCAAGTAATCTCTACTTCATAGACCTACATAAATTTGACTGGTGCATCTCTAATAAGGACCAATAGGGGGAGAAAAATAAGGCCTTTCTTAACCCCTCTGTGGGGTTAATAAAGGCCGTCATGAGAGCAGATAAACAGTACAGGTTGTCTAAAGTTTGTCTGTTTTCCTGAGAAACGTCTGACAAAGTGTGTGTGCTAAAGTAGAATTACCCTGATACTCTTTCCATTTTGATATAAAATGGCACAAAAAGGTGTTGTCCTGAAGAATCCGTGTTAAGGGTGAGCAGATTCTAAACATGTTTTAATTATTTAGTTGAGAACTGCAAACAAATATCATGCTGTACTTTTGCCTTCCCTGAAAGAAAAAAACAACTGATTGTTAGACCTTTTTGAGTGGCAGCTCTTTAATTGGACGTTTTAGCAGAATATGCAGCTCATCAAATTTATAATTCAGTCACTTCTAAGCAACAATGCTGCCCCAGCCATTCTGCCATGCAGCACTGTGAGAGAACGAGGCTGCGAGAGCCCCATGAGGGTCTTAAACAAAGAAAAATCTCTCAGCAAAATCTAATTACCACGGGACACAGTGTAACCAGCTTTCTGGTCTA